TCCAGAACACACATGTTTGACTGTGCAGATCACATCCTTTAGAAAGCAGAAAAAGAGCCTGTGAGGTTGTAGACGTACAATAATCCCATCGGGAGTGCGGGTGTTGCCACGCTCTGCTCAATGGGTGTACCTGCCTGCTGCTGTTGTGCACGTATCCTCTGAAACCTGGGTCTGAGCCAGGGAATGGGGCTTGGTTTGGGACTGGTTCTGGTTTGCTGTAAATAATTGAGCTGACACATGGTTTGCTGACCTGAAACTGGCAACAGCCATTCCTGGAGTCCCAGGATGGAGCAGCAGCAGCAGTGTCATTTGCTCTGCAAGTCGTGCTTTGGAGAAGGTGGGCTGGGAAGTGGTAGAGAGCATTAGAGGGCAGAGCCTGGAGTGAGGTGGGTTCTGGTACTGACTTGCACTGTGGATTTTAGCTCTTCTTTGTCCAACCTTTCCCTCTTGCCACCTTGGCCCTCTCTCCTGGCCTGGCCTGCAGGATGCTGATAAAGGGTGGCTGTGGTTCAACCCAAGCGAGCAAATGGATCTGTAGTTCTGGTTGGTCTCAAAGTATAGATTTGAATGCACAAGCAAGGGTGAGCAGAAGTGGAACAGCAGATCCTGTCCGTCTGAAGTTTAAAGTGGTAATAATACCAGAAACATTGGAAGGTGGAATAACAAAGGCAGCATCCAGCAGACAGCACTTCTGCCAGGGCTGAGTCTGCGGAATTGGCCAGTCTGAAGAGGTTGTGACTGAGTCTGGAGAGTCTCTTGCTGTGCCCATCAGCAAGGTTTGAATTTGGGATCACTGAACCTTTATCCCCTCCTTGGCCAGCTTCTGTGCAAACATAGAGATCCCTCTCCTTGACTAGCTTGTGATTTCTTTCTGTGGTGGCTTAGGAATGTGATGGAAGACCTCAAGATCTCCACGCTCTTGCACGTCTTCTGCTTGTATAATGGAACTTCTCTAGCTAGGACATGTTCTGCAGCAGTCCTGCAGTGAGGAATGTCTCTTCAGAGCTGGGCAGCATTGACTAGATCAGCATCATAGCCATTGTCACTGCAGCCCTGTGATTGGCCTGAACACACTCTCCAGCCCCAGATGTCCAACACTTGTTCTCATTTTCTCTCCCAAACAGACAGCCAGAGAAAGGGTTGACCCAGATAGAGGGACCAGAAGGTGTGGAGAGCTTGAGTTTGTTCCTGGCTTGGCCTAAACCTTGCTTAGAAGGGGACTTATCTGGATTGACCAATTTGTGGTATCTTGTAGGTGATTCTCTGCAGATCCCTCTGTGGTGAGGTGCTGAGCCACAGACTCTGCAGCTCATCAAGAGGGGAAGGTTGCTCAGCACTTTGCAGCATGGGGTTTGAAGTGGTTACTGAATCACAGAGGGCTGAGTTGTGTCTCTGGTGTGGTTTATACTGTGCTTCCCATGTGCCTTCAGCCACGTTCCTGCCTCCCCTCGATCCCCTGCTCCCCATCCTGCTCCTTTTAAGTATGGTTGTGTGGCCATGTGCCAACACCTTCCCAGCGCTTCCTTTTTGCTTAATGTGCAAGGCTGCAGGGCACCTGCTGCTCATGGGTGTTTGGGCACTGCAGTAACCCCTGCAAGTGCCAGATACTGCCAAATAAACAAGTATTGAGTGTGTTGCAGTGCACTGGGTAAGAGAGCACATGCTGTGAAGCAGGTTCACCTTCTCTGCTGTCTCTGGCTGCCGTCTGGCTTCTCTCTGGCTTCCCCTGATGGTGAGGTGGTGTGGGCTCAACCCTGTGGGTCATGCGAGGTAACTTCAGTGTATCTCCACCTTTCCCCTCTAGGAAGAAATGGCACGAGCAGACTCTGCCCAGGCATGTGATTATACCAAACACTTTCCTTTCCGTGCCAAATCTCTGCTATAAAATGAAGACTCAAACAGCCCCACACTCTTTTGTCTTCCCCGTTGCTATAAAGGTGTGACTCTTGTGAGAGTCACGACCCGGCATTTCCCTGGGAAGCCCCTGCCCATTCCCACCCTGTGGTTTGCCTCCCCAAGGTGTTGATGTCCAAGCCACCAGCTGCTCAGTGCACTCTGAAAGCTGCTCACAGATGCTTATTTCCACCACTACAGCTGAGTGTGTGCTCACTGCAGGTCACCCAGTTAATTTCTGCAGCACTTCTGGAGCCTTTCTGAAGTGCTCTTCACTTCAATACAGAAATCTCAGTCCAGTCCTTGCTGCAGAGTCAGGTCTCAAAGCTGAGACTCCTCCAGTCAGGACCCCAGCCCAGAGTAAAGCTCTTTCACCACTCGCACTTTGCTTCCTCCTGCAGCCTTGTTAACAAAACTGCAATGGCTTTTACAGTCAAGATAAAGTGACTTTTGGGTACCCCTGAGTTTGAAGGCATGATGTGAGACATCTTAAAGCAGCACAATTTGTAGGGAGCACTGACTATGTGTCAGAACTGAAGGCCCTCGAAATTACTAGTTAGTTCTGGCTGATTCTGCTGGTTAGGAACCCACAGGCTTCTTCCTGAGGAAGCACCTCCTATTAATAGCTGAGGAGAGGTGGAGGCTGGGAAGCCCATCTGCATAATCTGATGAGCATTAAACTAACCAAGGCAAAAGCCAAGGAACTGACTTAATCTGCTGTGATCTTTTCCCCTCCCTCACGTGGAGGTAAGTTAAGGACACAACTCTGAGGCTCAGGGTGTTACTGGGGGTGTGCTCAAAATAACATGTATGAAAAACAAATCTCTATGTGGAATCGATGATTTGGGAGGCAACAAGGGCAGAGCTGCAGTGTGCTGTAGGGGCACTTACAAGCCAAATTCCCACTTGCTGCAGTGAAGCCAAGTGCAAATGCTTCATCCCCAAGGCTTGAGGTGGTGACATACTGTGTGCAGCATGTGTGCGTCTGCCAGGGCAGTGCTGGCTGGCAGAGCAACTCCTCTGTCCTCAAGTCCTGGTCTCAAATCACAGATCCCTTGAGCCTGAAGAGCTGACATGGAGCTGGTAGGTGGCGAGAGCTGCCCGAGGTTCAGCTCCTGTCTGGGGCTGGAGGGAAAGGAAGGCAGAACAGGAGGAGCTCCGGTGAGGAGCCTGTGCAGGGAGCAGTGCGTGATGCAGCAGCGGGAAGGTGCCTGCTTCAGCCCCGCTGGCTCCCTGTGTCCTGCCTGGCTGCTGGCTCCATCCTGCTGTCACCAAGTGCTGCTCCGCGGGGCTCAGGGCTCGGCTCTGCCACAGGTCACCACCACGGTGTGAAGCATGAGTTGTGAGCACCAGCTCTGCGAGGTAGGAACAGGGTCCTGCAGTGTGTCTGCAGTGCCAAGTAGTGAGGGGCCGTGGTCTCTGCACAGCCTCTGTGTGCTACTGTAATGTAAATAATAACGCGGAGATAAAGCTGAGGTCAAGGAACGTCTCTTAAACTTGATAATTTTCCCTGATGGGAAGATTTATGTTGCCGCTTGGGCTGGAGCTGTGCCAGTTCTTGGTCAGTGTCCAAGTAACCATACAGCAATACCGTACAGCAGTACCATGCCGATGGGAAAGGAGCTGTTGGGCTCATGTGCTAACGTGGAACTTGCTACCTTCTGATGCCGCAGTCACCACAAACGCAGCCTGCCCTGCAGGAGCAGCACCAGGGAGGGAGCTGCCGCTCAGTGCTGGGCACTGCCCAAGGAAGCGGCAGACCGACAGCGAGCAGCAGCTTGCTGGCACAGCACCCTGCTCCCGGGGCTCCAGAGCTGCCCTGGGATTCGTCTCCCCCACTGCAGACAGGCTGGGCTGCATCAGCTGGGTTCTGCTGCCAGCACAGGGAGTTATCCGCATGCTCGCCCTGCGCCAAGTGTCTCTGCACTGACTGACCCGTGTGAGCAACTCGGTGAAGGAAAAACCCCACATCCTTCCAGCCTCGCTGGGTTCTCGGGGCCTGGCTTGGCTGAGGGATGTGCCAGCCCCCACAGCTCTGCTGGATTCCATGCTGAGGTTGCAGCTTAGCTCAAAAGGGCAGTCTGAAACTCCAGAGAAGCAAGATTTATTTGGGAGTTTGGGTTTTGCTTTTAATTATCCTCCCAGACTGGGATGAGTAAGAAGAGCAGAAATGCACAGCGTGGAAGCAGTGTACACTCGTCATGTGGGACAGCAAAAGGCTGTACTTGAAACTGTGTTATCAAAACTGCACACGTGCAGCCAGAAAAATCAAGAACAGCTTCTTGAACATGAACGTGACAGGTCTGAGGAACAGGGGAAGCAGTAACCTAAGAATTAAAGAAGTCTTTACTCCAGGGCTATAAAGCCCAACCTTAGGCCCTTGCTGAAAGGTGCACATGGTGTGTGTGCCAGGGCTGGCTTTGGCAGCCTTCGTTCCAGGCTTGTGCAGTACCTGTTCAGTGCTGTCCTGGTTCACAGCCAGGCTCCCTTATAGTTCCCATAATGACCGTCACCAGTGCTGTTCCTGCAGATGAAGCGCCTCGCCTAGAACTGCGTGGTTTAGTTCTACCTTTTGTAGCTACAGGCAATCTGTGTAAGCTGCCTGGGTTTGTGTGGGTCCACTCAAGCGCTGGGTTGGATGTGACGGGCAGCCGGGATTTCAGATGGTTGTGCCTCTTTCCTCCTGTCATACGTCAGGGCTTAAACTTAGGCAGAGCCAATGCAGCGAGGTTTACATGGGGCTGCAAGCTGTGGGTTTGCTACCTTGGATCAGCATGTTCATGGGTGTCTGCATTACGTCCTGACTGTATTCCTTAACCGTATTCTACTGCTACCTGTGTTTTCTTTGCACAAAGATGCTCTATGAGCCGAATAATTGATCCTGTGAAGCTTGCTAGTTCTCTGCAGGCTTTGAATTTGGGGATTGCTGTTCCACTGTGCCTGGGGTCTTGAACTGTGGCCATCATCAGTATGGTGTGTTACAGGGAACAAAGCAGCCTGAGTAAAGAGCCTGAGTTCAAACACTACCAGCAGCAGAAGTGTCTTACCATGCCTACTTCAGTACGTATCTGTACTTACACATTGTCGTCTCCTCTCGTTTGATCTAGGTTGTATGGTTGGGCCCTGGAAATGGGATGTCAGTCCCGCTCAGGGAGCATAAAGGAAGAAGGAAGGTTTCCCAGTTGCTGCCGCTGTGACAGCGAGTGAGAGCCAGCGCAGGAAGATGTCTGTGGTCACGGCCGCGGTCCCGGCTCCGCAGGGCCCCGTCAACCCGCCGCCTCCGGAGGTCACTAATCCCAACAAGCCCGGCAGGAAGACCAACCAACTGCAATATATGCAGAACGTGGTGGTAAAGACCTTGTGGAAGCATCAGTTTGCTTGGCCTTTCTACCAACCTGTTGATGCAATTAAATTGAATTTGCCGGTACGTACCGATAATCTTCTGCTTGGCATCCTGCTCTTGGACAGCTTTCTGATGGGGAGACCAGTCTTCTGGTTAGGTTGGATTTGGGCATCAAATGCTTTAAGATTCACTGAATTAGAAGCTCTTTCAGAGCTGGAGAGGTGCAGGTCTCTGAAGGAGAAAACTGTTTCACTTAAACCAGCACCTCCTGTGCACCCTCCCGTAAGCTCAGCCCAGCAGCCCACTGCAGACTCACTCCAACTGCTTTGAGTGAAAGGGTTGCATGTTGGGGAGCATGTTTTGGGATGTAAGGTCAGGAGAGCTCCAGTTACCACAAGTTATAACCCAATTCTATGGACTGGACCGGGAGCCTTTTGACCTCTGTAACGCTATTGCTGGGTGCTATTTAAAGTGCTAGCCAAAAGAGTAAAACGCTTCACACCTGCAGAATACTTCCTTAGGTCTGTGCTCATTCGTCTTCTCTTTGTGGAGTTAGTTTCTCAGTGAGGCATTTTGAGGTGGTTTTAGGGCAGGTTACCAGAAAATTGAGGGGAGTCAGTTGGAAGAAGTTTTCCATGCGTGACCTGAGTGTGCACCAGCCCAGCAGCCAGCAGGATTGCCTCTCCTGCCCTGGCGTGCCTTGCCTGGAAATACCAGTGCCTCAAATCACGCTTGAGGGTTGGGCTCAGTGGCCAGTGGCTGTGTGTGCGCTGCTCCTCTCCAGCATCAGAAAATGACAGAGTACAGCCTTGCACGCCTGGAGCACCTCAGGCCAATCACAGCATCTGTGTGTGCTTGAGACCAGCCCAGAGAGAAACTGGGTTAACGTGTGGAAGCCTTTTAAGTGCTAAAATGCCCTTAAAAGAGAGACTGAAACTTTTAGCACAGTCTGAAGTGACACTGACAGCCTCTTAAAGGGTGGTCACAGCACAGGCAGCTTCCAGGCAGAGTTGCTCAGGACGTGTGCTTTCCTCACACGTGACTCCTAGTGCCTCCTCAGCCCAGCTGTCCTTAGTAAAGGCAGGTAACGTCCAGGTAGCCATCTGTGTGTGTGCTTGTGCCATATACTGCGGGAGACTGGTGCTTCGTAGTCAAGTTCATAATAAAGATAGCTTAAAAAGCTCCAAATTAGGAAATAAATGAAAGCAGAGATGATATTTACAACTTGCACAAAACCTTGGGGATGGGGGATGAGCAGAAAGCTGGGGCTGTAGAGGGAGGTGTGAGCACCATTCCATGTATCAGGAGATGTAAATAATGTCCTTCCTGCTTCTCCAACAGGATTATCACAAAATCATAAAAAACCCCATGGACATGGGGACGATCAAGAAGCGCCTGGAACACAACTACTACTGGAGTGCCAGTGAATGTATGCAGGATTTCAACACCATGTTTACAAACTGTTACATTTACAACAAGGTAAAGAGCCCAGACAAGCCTTTAGCTGGGGCACTGCCTGGAAAAGACCCACCTACAACTGGAGTGTGCTGGCTCTGCTGTGCACTTGCAAGAGTTTGAAATGCCACTAATTGCAAGCACATTACTTGAAATACACAAAGCTCTCTTTGTGCTGTGGCTTTCTTCCCCCAGACTAGTTAAAAGGGCAAATGTGCCTTTTAATTCTAGGTAGATCTCTGTTCTGGGGTTATGCAGCAAGTTTTTACTCCTTTTATTTTCAGTTAGGAGTTGTTTAAGATGAGCTATGGTTTAGGCAGCGCTTTGCGGGTGCTCTGTGATGTCAGTGCTATGTGTTACTCGGGCTGTCTACCAGTAAATAGTATCTTAGCAGCAGAGAGCAGGTCAGGAAGTGTAACTCTGTTCTCTGCCTGTGTCTTGTCCATACTTGCACACCTTTAGATGGGTTGTTATTTGTGGTTTGGCTTGCTTGCTGTTTTGTTAGGTTGTTAAAAGCCTCTGCGCTTTGTATTTGTATTTTCTACAGTGGTTTGTCATCGCTGACCTATGCTGAGAACAAGCTAAAGTAAATTAATTAACTTGAGCCACAGCGTGAGTGCTCACGCTCCTGTCCTGACCCTGCTGGCAGCGGGGGGACAGCTTGTCTGTTCCAGTTTGATGCTCCACGCTGTGGCGCAGGATGCTGGTTACCCGGCTCCTGGAAGTCCTGATAACTTTCTGGATGTGGTGTTCTTAAAGGCCGTAATTACTGCATGCGAGGCCAGAGTAGAAGAGCAGGAGGGCAGCATGCAAGGAGGGAGAGGAGCTGTTGTGTTTATTGTCAGAGCTGAGATACCATCGTTTATTTGGAGGGCAGTTCCTTGGGGATTTCAAAGCCGAATCTTGAACCTCAGTGCTTCTGGTATGTGATGATACAGCATGGGCTTGTACTCTTCTCTCTGCAGCCCACAGATGACATCGTCCTCATGGCCCAAGCCCTGGAGAAGATCTTCCTGCAGAAAGTTGCCCAGATGCCTCAGGAGGAGGTTGAGTTGTTACCCCCGGTCCCTAAAGGCAAAGGTCGCAAGCCGTCAGCGGGCACACAGGGTGCAGGTACTGACCCAGTGCAGTGACATTGACCCTTATGAGCCTGTTGCTGGGGCCTGAGCCACTTCCAGCTGCCTGGTTTGCAGGTGGGGAAGGGACACAGAAGGAGCCTGTATTCTAATGGTTAAAGCAGTGGTTCACCCAATCTTCCAGGGCTCGATGTCTTAAGGCCACTCTGCCTTTGTCATACAAGCACCTTGCCATCCATCACCTACCCATCGACACAGAGCTTGTGTGCAAAGAATAAACCAAGGAAAGAAGAGGCAAGGTAGTTAAATATGCTGGTCTGCCATGAATGACAGACCGTGATGTAGAATGCCTGCATAGACCTGGGTTTATAGCTCACCTGAGGTCCTGGCAGAAGCCTGGCACAGCAGAGACTCACACTCCAATCTTGCTCATCCCCCAAACCCCATGTAACATGTTTCTTCTGTGCACATGGTTGCAAAAGCATAGAATGAAGTTTGATCAATAGAAGGGAGGGATTTATTAAGCCACTGCAAAAGGCTGTCTAGACCATTGCGTATCAGTAGGAATTGTGTTCAGCTTACCTAGAGTTGACTTTAAATGGATTTGGGACTAAACTGTCTGTAAGCACAATAAAACCATTCATACAGGAGTTCGTGTGGGCTGAATTAAACTGTTGTAACTTCTTTTCTGTAAACAAGGTCTGATTGTTGCTCTGGGAAAGTCAAATGTTCCTCTTTACTTTCCCACATCTCAGGTGCCAAATGGAGCTACAACTTCATCCAAGCTCAAAGAAATTTGTGTCTTTTCAGCATCCTTTGATAAAAGCTGCTGTAAAAACATAGAAGAGTATTGCTACTTTGGTTATTAGTTACTATGTTTGTTCCCCCTTAACTTTACACTAGTAGGCAGTTCTTCAACAGTGCAGGTCTAGTGTAAGAGACTTGCCTGGCTATGGGGAGGCTTAAGCTCTACTCCCAGCTCTGTTTCTTTTGTTGTATAACTTGTGGCAAATCTGAAGTGCTTTGGCCTCTTGGGTATTCAGGTGGCAATAGGGGAGTGGCTGTTGCCATTTGTCATGCACAGTAAAAACACTCCTGGATCGAGGTCTGTGTGGGACAGCAGCTGCCCAAAACAACCATCTCCCTATGGAATGGAGCTCTCCTTGAGCTCCTGCTCCTCTGCTGAGAGCCATGAGAGGGGTGAAGACTGTCCCAGAGCAACACACACACCCCATGTGCAGAGCTTGAAGTATTTTGCTTGCATGTGGCTGGCCTAAAGCTCACGGTACGAGGACTTAGGTCAGTGATTTCTTATGTTCTTGTTGACCCCTGGGTAATGGCATCAAGCAAATCACACAGTGTCCTTTGTGCTCCCTGGTGGCCCTGGCCTGGGAGCTTGTTGCCAAGCCTATGACTGAACAGTCCAGCAGCACCAGATTCACTTTGTCCCCGGTGTCTTGCTGGCACTTGTCCCCATCAGTACGTTGCAGTGCGTTTTCCCTTTGTCGTTGAAAGGAGCGCCGCAAGCCCTGGCCGTTGGCATCAAGCAAATCACACAGTGTCCTTTGTGCTCCCTGGTGGCCCTGGCCTGGGAGCTTGTTGCCAAGCCTATGACTGAACAGTCCAGCAGCACCAGATTCACTTTGTCCCCGGTGTCTTGCTGGCACTTGTCCCCATCAGTACGTTGCAGTGCGTTTTCCCTTTGTCGTTGAAAGGAGCGCCGCAAGCCCTGGCCGTGTCCTCCGTGTCCCCGCCCAGCCGTGTCTCAGACGCCCGTCATTGCTGCCACCCCCGTGCCAACCATCACCGCTAATGTCCCGCCCGTCACTGCCCCTCCCGCCGCTGCCCCCCCTCCGCCTGCTGCTCCGATAATGCCCGTGGTGCCCCCGACGCCACCGGTGGTCAAGGTAAACGCGGAACTCGACCCCTTCCCCTTCCGAAGGCA